TTTCTTTTACTTTTGAAAGAGAGGAGCGAACTGGGGGTTGGGGGGAGAGGGCTGGGCAGGTAGAGAAGTGCAGCAATGAATGAATGGAAATCCAAATTCTCTGTAAATGTTCATTAAAATTATTAAAAAACAAAAAAAAAAGATATTCTTTAGGGCTGTATCCTTTCTCAATACCTATTCAATCTCTGTGCTTGTGTAAATCTTTTTATTTTGTTAGTTTTTAATTATAAAATTTTGATAGTGCATGTACAGTCAATAAATAGTATTTTGTTTAAAAAAATCTTATGGACCACTAGGTTGTTTCTTTGTTTAATTCAAAGGTGGGGGATGGGAGGGAGAAGCAAATGAAATTCATTTAAAGCTTTAAGAAGAAAAAAATACTATCACAGAATGACTTTTTCTTATTCCTAATCTTTCTTTTTTAATATATGGTCTTACATTTTTTAGGTGACCTTAACAGCAGAGACTGATTGCCGATATGTTTCTTGGAGGAGAAAGAAATTATATTTACTCTTTGCACAGCATCGTTATATCTCACGCCTGTTTTCAGTTTTAATTGGTAGTGACATTGCAGATAAACTCTATGCCTTGAATGACAGGGTATATATAGGAAAAAGATATCACTACGATATCCGGTTACCTAACTTCTATCAAATGTCAAGCCCAGAGACGTCCAGGTCACCTCTGACAAAACATTATCGGAATTGCACACAACATGGTGATAACTGACATCGAAGCCTGAAGTTTGGTAATTATAAAAGAAACTCTCTTTATCATTCCCCAATGAAGTAGGAAGATAGAGACAATTTCCCTCTCTAATATTTTTATAAATCAAACTCAGAGGCAAAATGTCACTGCCAGCTGTTCTATTCATCTCAACTTCTGCATTGTGAATAAATTTACAAAATATTCTGGTATTTCTTATTGTTATTACTGGAGGAGAAACAAATAATTATGGACAATTTTGTCTTTTCTGCCTTAGAACTGGGAGAATGGAATTGTGTATTTGCAAGTATTTTATCAGATTTATTCAAATGTCTTGTCCTGTTGGATTCAGAATTGTTCCTCAAGAAGCAGCCTGCAAATACTTGAGAAGCACAAGAGTGGGTTGCTACTGTCTACGTTGACCTTTCCAGAATTCACTTTTGTTATGACCTCTGACCAAACCAAGCCATATTCTCATAGTGAACAGCAATTCTTTTCTTTGTATGAAGTTATTTAATATCACTGGAAATAGAGTAAACTATAAAGATGATGTTATGTCAACCTTGAAGACTATTTTTATTGCTATAAAGAATTGATGAACTTAATCTATACTGTATTGTTGTTGTGTACCACAGAGTTGGAAGCAATCGTAGCTGACCCTCTGGCAGGTTTTCAGAGGCAGTTACTGGCATGGGAGGAGATTGCCCATCCTTCGCTCATGGAGCAGCTGGTGAACTCAAACTACGTGTCTTCAGGATTGCAGCACAGCTTCTTGCCACTAAGCCACCACTGTTCCCAATCTATACTGTAGCACTTTTAAAAAGAAATACTTCCTAGAAAACAAAGCTGCATAATAATTACTGTTTGTTGTTGTTACCGTGTGCCATTGAGTCAGAACCAGTTCATAGCTGGCCCTTCAGGAAGTTCCCATGAGCCATAAATTGCACCAGAGGAGATCACCTATCCTTCTGCATCACAGCTAATGGATTCAAACCACCTGCCTTTGGGTTGACAGTGCAACACCTTACCACTAAGCCAGTTGTAATTAAGTCAGTTCCAATTAATAAGATCTCAGGTGTTTCCAAGAAGAATTGCACACCACAGAAGTGCAGTTTCTAAGAGCTGTGATCTTTTGGAAGTACACCACCAGGCCTTCTCCTCCAGCTGTTTCTTGATAGATTCCAGTTGTCACCCCTTCAGTTAGTAGTAAAGTGCCTAACCGTTTGTGCCATACAGGGACACTGGTAAAAATGATAGCACCCAAAAATGAATAGTGATAAATGTCTTATGGCATTTCAGTGAACATGCTTAGCTGGAAGGACAACAGTCCAGTGGTTTGACTGGTCAGTGGAGGACTCACTGTAAATGCACAATCCACCACACGGACACAACAGTGTCAGCTTCCAGTGAAGAACTGGTCCTCAGTCACAGATATGTCTCTTATCTTTGGAAAACTGCTTTTCTAAAGATTGTTTGCCTGGACTGTTCTTTGATGGAAATATAATAAAATCATGTATTTTATCATTGTTTACTGACTACCTTTTGAGGTTCCAGGTACTAACCTGAGTACTGAGTAACAAAGCTGGTGAAAGATAGAGTAACACCTAGAGTTAGAAAATATGGTGTCATGGAAAAAGATAAATCAGGTGGGTAAGAAGGGGCATAGTACTTCCTGATAAGGTGGCCCAAGAAGGCCTTTAGACAAGGGCATGAGTGATCTGAATAGGGAAGAGCTGGAAAGCCAGCATGGATGGGGCAGAATGAGCACCAGAAAGAGAAAGGGGCCAATTGAGTGAGTGAGTGAAAGTCATGGTAATGACTCTGACTTTTATCCTTTGAACAAAAACATCACTAAAGGAGGTTTAAGCAAAAGGGTAATATAAGCTACCTAATATTTTAGTGGAATCTTTCTGGTAACAACTTTAGACTGGGCTAGGTGGTTTTAAAGGGAAGATCAATATGAGAAGCTTGCTAGACATTTAAGTAGACAGGGTTTATTAAGCTGGAGAAAAGTCTGGACTAGAGATACTAATTTAAGAATATTTACCACATAGGTTACTGTGTACCACCTAATCAGCACTGACCCATAGCTGACCCTCCAGCAGATCTTCAGAATCAGTAAATCACCCAAGAGAGATTGCCCATCCTTCTATCATGAAGCAACTGGTGGATTCAAACTGTATACCTTTGGGTTGACAGCACAATACCATACCCCTGTGCTACCAGAAAGGACAAAGAAGAATATTAGGCAAAGAGCTGAAGTCAGAGAATAAAAATGGAAGAACTCACTTGGCATTTCTCAAGCTGAAAGATAGGAAAAATAAATTCAGACTTGGAGTTGTACTAGTGAGAGATGCTATGGACAAAATCTTGAATGACCAGGAAGCATCAAAAGAAGATGGAAGGAAAACACAGTCACCGGACCAAAGAGAACTGGTCAACATTGAAACATTTCAGGAAGTATCATATAACAAAAGCTATTGGTACTGGAGAAAGAAGTTCAGGCTTCATTGAAGCATTGACAAAAAATAAGACTACAGGGATAGATGGGATACTAATTGACATATTTCAAATAGCAGATACAGCCCTGGAGGTGCTTACCAGTCTATGCCAAGAAATTTGGAGGACAGTGGACTGGACATCTGACTGGAAAAGAGCCATATTTGGTCCCATTCCCAAGAAAGGTGATCAAACAGGATGTGGAAATTATCAATATCATAAATATCACATACAAGCAAAATATTGCTGAAGATCATTGGAAAACCTACAACAGGACATTGACAGAAAAATGCCAGAAGTTAAAGCTGGGTTTAGAAGAGGCCATGGGACCAGAGATAGCATTGTTAATGTCAGATAGATCCTGGCTGAAAGCAGAGAATACCAGAAGAATTTGTGATTTATTGACTATGCAAAAGCATTTGACTGTGTGGATCATAACTAACTATGACTAACAATGAGAAGAACAGGAATCCCAGAACACTTCATTGTATTCATGTGAAATTTGTTCAGAGATCAAGAAACTGTTGTCTGAATGGAGCAACTGAACATTGCATGGTTTAAAATCAAGAAAAGTGAGCATCAGGACTATATCCTTTCTCCATATGATTCAATCTGTATACTAAGCAAATAATTTGACAAACTGAAAACAGAGAATACCAGAAGAATGTCTATCTGTGTTTCATTGATTATGCAAAGGCATTTGACTGCGTGGATCATAACAAACTGTGGC